CGAACTTCTGTACGGACGTCAACTAGGGCAGCTCCATTTTCTCTGGTATATGGGATGGAAGCTGTCTTACCTATTGAGGTGGAAATTCCCTTACTTCGGATTTTGTCAAAGGTAAAGCTAAATGAGGCATAATGGGTACATGCTAGGTATGACCAATTAAATCTGATTGAAGAAAAGAGATTGAAAGCTATTTGTCATGGTCAGATGTACCAAAAACGTATGATACGGCCACATGGTAAGAAAGTTCGCCTTTGAGAATTCCATGAGGGAGATTTGGTGCTTAAAAGGATTTTACCTGTTCAAAAGGATTTCCGAGGAAAGTGGATGCCCAACTGGGAAGGATCGTATGTTGTCAAGAAAGCCTTTTTTGGGGGAGCTTTAGTCTTAACCGAAATGGACGGATCGAAATTACCATATCCAGTGAATTCCGACGCTGTTAAAAAATATTTCGCTTGAAAAAGAAATAAAAAATGAAAAAAAAGAAAAAATAAAAAGAAGAAAAAAAAAAATGAAAAAAAAAGAAAAAAAAAATGATGAAAAAAAAAGAAAAAAAAAGATGAAAAGAAAAGAAAAAAAGGGGGTTCAAGATGAAAACCCGCAAAGGGCGGCTTGAGTTTTGTTTAAATTCAGAATTCGTGCATGGTGGAGGTTCTGAATTGATTTTGGAAGTAGAAAGAGCTCCTGATGTGGATAGTAACAATGATAGTTAGTGATCAGGGTTGAGACCAAAGATTAATGAGTCTCGATGGAAATAACCAGGAGAGAAATTGAATGCACATGAGATTCAATACTGGTTTAGGGCATTTAATGATGGAGATTTGAGAGTTTAGAAGTAGCTTCACACTCTTAAGCATCATCACAATGTTGGAGATCCTTTCGACAGAAGCTACACTCGAGTCATTCTAACGGCGTGCCAGTTTGAAATGCCTACTCTTTTGTTCTTTTGCAGTTAAAAGTTTTATTAGACCTATTTTGTTAAAAGTTTTCCATGTAGTTACCTAGCTCTTGTTAGTTTCCCTTTAGCATCTTATTTTGAAAAGTTTTAGCTTAGCCATTTTGTATTTGTGCAAAAGGTTTTGGAAAATACAGGTATTCTGAAGCTGATGATGGTTTTAACATGTAAGTTTGTGTGGCTACGGGAAACTAAAACCTTGGAGTTCATAGAAAATCTCAGCCATTAAAAGATGATCCAAGGAGATTGTTATTAATTAAGAAGTTGGTTATGAGTACTGGTGGGTTTTCAGGAAACAAAGAAATCAAGGTCCTGTTAAACCGAAGGATATGGTATTGAGATTGTCAACTGGGGTGAACTGGTCAAATGTTCTATGCCTGAGATGAAACTGAGTTCCATCGAGATCAAATGAGATGGTGTTCTTTCGAAGAATAAAATGCATCAAACTGCATAATTGCATACATTTTAGGCATGAATAGGATCATGACATTCATAATTGCATGATGATTTAAATATCCACAGGTTTCACAGGGATAGTTGAAGATTGAAGATATTGAAGCATCAAGATGAGGATAACTAGTTTTGAAATCTTGAAAAGAATGATGTTTAAACGATAATTGAGCCAAAGTAGATTCACATATCCAATGGCTTCCAGACAAGTTTTCATGATGGAGATGGATTTTCAGAAATTTTCTCAAATTCTAAATTTTTTAGTATAATATTTCAAACATATTGACATTTTTGTTGAAGATTGAGTCCTATACTCTCTGAGGGAATAGGGAGCGGACAAATTCGTTGAAGATTGTTCGAGTTCTATACTCTCTGAAGGAATAGAGATCGGACCCGTTTGTTGAAGATTGTTCGAGTTCTATACTTTCTGAAGGAATAGAGAGCGGACCCGTTTTATGAAGATTATTCAAGTCTTATACTTCCTGAAAGAATAGGGAGCAGACCCGTCACTTGAAGATTTTTCAAGTCTCATTTATCCTGAAATAGCAGAGAAGTGGTTGATCTTTTGAAGTTCTCAGGACTGGACAAACTCGATCATCTTTTGATCTTTTGCTCTATTCTCGTTATACGATAATAAGCAAAGAGGGGCAACTGTAGATGCTCGTTTTGTCCGGATTTTATTCGAATATTGTTTGGGCTTATAAGTGAATTACTTGCAACCTAGCCCGTAACCAAATCAGGTTGAGGCTCAATTCAAATCCAATGATCCTCAGCAGAGTGAACTCTAGTCCACGTGAAACCTGGAAAATAAAATGGTTATAGGGAGTTAATAAACAGGAGAAGGAAGTTAACAAAGAGTGAGCCATTATTGGTAGTGGAGAGGAGTACGTTGGGGGGCAATTAAAAACTGTAAAAAGTCAGTTTTGAGGGGGAATTAACCACTGGAAATTTGAAGGGGTGGGGCACTAAAAAGGAAAAAAAAAAAAGAAAAGGAGATGGTCAACCATCACTAAAAGATTACACACGGAAAGAAGAGGAGAATTATCGGCCATCAAGAGTGAACAAAAAAGGGATCCCACTGATTCTTTGTTTTTGGAGAGAAAGTGACAAACAAAAAACATTGTACAAGAGAGGTATTTTCATCTTGTTCGAAGGTCAAAGGAAACAACCCCATTTGTCATCGAACCAAAACAATACTCGGAAAGGGTATTTATTTATTTTTATTTGCTTTTAGCTTCCATTCTCAATTGCTTCCATTTTCTTGTGTGTTCATGTGTTTTGAACTGAAACCAAATCGAAAGCATAAAGAAGATAGCTTAAATGTTTACTTTAGTGGTATTTCCTTCCACTTTGCTTTCTAGTCGTTCGAGTCTACACCGTTGAAGTAAAGGGGCTGTGTTAGTTGGGTAAAATAAATCAAGTCGAAGGAGAGGGTTTTGATAGCTTACCTTGTAGTGCGTCGGGGTTTGGAGATGAATTCATCGCCATAATTAAAATTGCAGTCGGAGTGTTTGGGTTTAGAGTTTCATGGCAGTGTGTGTGGAAGAGTGGAGAGGAAAGTGTAAGGTTGCTGGGTATGTCCACGTGAATTGAATTTAGTTTAGGTTATGTAAAATAGGTTTTATATCATAGCTTTTGGATAAATTAATATTTAGCCATCGAAACTTTAGGATAATTTTCTCTCGTGCCCTTGTACTATAGTCGTACATCTACACTTTAGTCACCTTTAGGACTAGTTTAGAATTTAACCTTTTGTGTTTGTCCCAATTTCGTTATTTTTCCAGTTTTAGTTTTAATTTTGTTGAGTTATCCATGTGTGAATTCTCTGTTTATGCGTGTGTTTTTATTTAAGTCCATGGTTTATTTTTTATTTGTATGCTGAATTTTACATTTATTTAAATTTGATCATTTGTACAATATATGTTAATATGCATGGTTTATAATTTTTATTTTTTTTAAATTAAAAATATGTATAGTTTTTTTGTATGTCACGATGTATGATATTTTTAATTTTGTTTAATTAATTTTGGCATGATATCCACTTTTTGCATAATTTGTATGATAGCCTCACGTGCATAACTCGACCTATAACATAATCGAACTAAGGGTAATACCCTTTTAATTTAAAATTGTCTTGAGTGGCCTGTCTTAACTGATTAGAGGGTCGTTTTGACTATTTTAAATTAAAAGTGTATCCCGAAAGTGAAACAAAAAAATTGATTCATCACCTAAAATTTGGGAACGAAAAAAAAGGAAATGTTCGTTTATTTAAATTTATCGAGAAAAGGTTGTTATAACTTTTAAGATCTGGTCTCGATATTTGTAAATAATCGAACATTCTTTATCTTTCTAAAATGACTTGATAATTTTAATTTAATTTATTTGAGTGCTTTTGAATGTTTTAAATTTACATCTTTGTTTTATGGGATCAAAAATCAAATTAAATTCTAATTTGTAAAGCTCATTGCAAAGACGTTAATTAATCGACTAGGTACCGATTTAGGGCGTTGTGGGGTGCTAATCCTTCCCTACAAGTAACCGACTCCCGAACTCGGATTTTGGTAACGCATACCTCAATTTATTATTTTAATTAAAATTAATTTTTATTTAAAATGATTTTTGAGTGCCCAATCACACCCTAATCAAAGATTGATGACGACTCTTCGAACCTTATTTTTCGATCATAAAGGAAATTCAAAATTTTTCGAAACGAGAGGTTTTTTAAATCGCATTTGTTTTTTAAATTAAAAAGAGATAATTTAGAATTAATGTGGTTTTCAAAATCTCACCTTCAAGAAAAAAATCGTTTCGACACTTATATCATTGGGTATAACGACGGTTATTATTTAGTTGTTCTCATTAAATATGTATTAAATAGAAATATCTTTTATCTCTGAAATTGTTATTATTAAAAACTATAGTGTGAAGTGGCTGAATACCTGTCTAATATGAGTTGGGGGGTTTTTGCCTTTATTCTCTCGGCCGACTGGCTGTAATTAAGGTTTTGCCTTGTTTTGTTTTGAACTCCTCAGAGAACCACAAAGACGTAGTAAACATTCTGATGAAATCAAAATCTATCCAATAAACATGGGAGACCTGAAGCAAACAATGAAAGAATTAAACCCAGAGGAAGATGAAGAATAAGCAATATTTATCGATCAACAAAGAACAGAAAAAAGGTTGTCGCTACAATACTGTTTCGTTGGAGTCTACCTAACGTCTAGCATGATAAACTATCCAACAATACGCTCTATGATGGAAAACGTTTGACATCCAATCGGAGGCATCTCAATCACGGCACTTGGTGAAGGCCGTTTTTTATTCAGACTTTATAATGAAGTAGATGCGGACAGAATTGAAAGTGAAGGGCCATGGTATTTTAATTCCCATATTTTAGTTTTTCACAGGCTTCAAGAACAAGACAATCCTATGACAGTACCTCTCCACTTCGTGGATTTTTGGATTCAAATAAACGAGTTACCGGTGGAATATATTTCAGAAAAAATTACCAAGCAAATCAAAAATTTTATTGGTAAACTTCTAGCCTATGATGTGACAGCAGTGACATTGTGATACTGAGGAAGCATAAGAGCCCGTATTCGTCTTGATGTACGACTTCCATTAAAAAGAAGGAAAAAGTTGGCGTTAGCTAATGGGCAGTTTACATACGCAACATTCCAGTATGAAAAAACTAAAGCTATTTTGTTATCTCTATGGAAAACTAGGCCATGGTGAAGGATTCTGTCCACTATGATTAAACACATAAGGACCTACTACTTGCATGGGACACTTCGCTTAAAGCACACCTTGGTCAAATGTCAGTCCACGCTAGCCCTTCGCTAAGGGATGAAGATTCAAACTTACCAACAAAACCTGCAGGGAGAATGATAAATAATGAGATCAAAACGACTCAAAACAATAATCTATCAGGGATAGTACAAACAAGCTAGATAAACCCAATACTAAAGCAGATGTACACAAGAAACGACATAAAGACAGGAATGAACTTAGCCTCTGAAGTAATAATGATTGGCATAGAAGAAGAATCCCCCATGAAAAAAGGAGAATGCATAAAGAGACAAAGAAACACCAATTCAGAAGCTTCAAACACAACAAGGCATGATTCCTTGAATGACAAAAAAAAGATATCGGTAAGCCTGAGGAACCAGGCCAGTCGGACGCAAAGAAACTCTTAAGCTGGAACGTTCAGGGTTTGGAAAATCCCTAGACGGTAGACCGTCTCCGGCACATGCTGCGAAACATTAACCCATATGTAATTTTCTTGATAGAAACAAAATTACAGAACACTAGAATGATACGAGAAGATTGGGATTTAGCAAAGGAATAGAAGTAGAATCACAAGGAAGCAGAGGAGGCTTATGTATCGCATGGAAGGAGGAAGTAAAAATAACACTACGATTTTTCTCAAGCTCCCACATAGATGTAACAATCCAGGATGATGAAGCAGAATTTAATCGGAGATTCACAGGATTTTATGGAGCATCTGAAGAACACAGAAGAATGAATTCTTGGAATTTAATGCGACAACTGAAAAAAAAACTGAATGAACCATGGATGATAATGGGAGATTTCAGTGAAATCCTATACTCCCATGAAAGACAAGGGGGATTAGAGCGCAACAAACGACAAATGCTAGAATTCAGACAAGGCCTCTCATACTTACTAAGACGAGCGGAGGCACTGAACTCATTAAAAGGAGTAAAACTCAACAGGTATGCCCCAACCATCACGCACTTGCTTTTTGCGGATGATTGTCTAATCTTTGGAGAAGCCACGACAATAGTAACAAGCTATTTAAATGTGATCTTATGAACATATGGAAGTTATTCTGGGCAGAGAATTAATTTTGACAAATCATGTTTCTTCTTTAGTTTAAATGTTATTGATTCAAATGGGGCGATGTTCGAAGAATCCTGGAAGTAGAAAATGAGACAAACTCAGAGAAATACTAGGCCTACCTTCAATAATTAGCAACAACAAAAAAAAGAGACAGGCATTCATCTCAATGAAAGAACATATGTGGGAACGAATTAACTCTTGGAGTACGAGAACACTATCCCAAAGAGGAAAAGAGTTTTCATAAAATCAGTATTGCAGGCACTATCTCTATTTGCTATGGATTGCTTCTTACTACCAAAATCAATTTACGAAGAACTGGAAAAATTGATGAATCGATTCTGGTGGCAAAAATCAGTAGAGAAAAAAGGTATTCACTGGGCATCACAGGAAAAACTAAGTAAAATGAAAGGAGGAGAAGGAATGGGATTTCGAGATCTAACAAAATTTAACATCCCCCTATTAGCAAAGCAAGGTTGGAGAATCCTAAAGAATCCAACTTCATTAGTAAACAGACGTGAGCACCATTTTACAGACCCAAGAAAAAAAATGGGCCTCAAGCCCAAAACCAAACTAGACTCGAACTGGACCATACCCGACCCTCAACCGGATCCGACCCGACCTGGGTCTACCCTAACCCAACTAGGTAGCCGCCCAAATGCCCCCAATAAGCTCCTGCTGAACCTCTACCCCAATCCCTGCCAAGGTCACTCCCCATTCTCAAGTCATCCTCTGCCACTGTCAGAACTCTTACAACAAGCAAACCAACTCACACTCCACGCAACACATCAAAACATCCAACAAGCAAACAAAATAGGAATTTTTTTTTATTTCCATGTAAAACGGGTATAAAACCTGAGAAACAACACTGTAATGAGGGTTTTATTTTTTTATTCGAAAATCAATAAAAAAACAGAAAATGGAAACGAAATTGACAAGGTTTTATTTCTTTTCACTGGTTTTTTTTATTCTATTTGTTTAGATTTTGAAAACAATAAAAAGTTACCATTCGGCCGAAGCTTTCACCGGCGGTGAGGACCATCGTTCACAGATTCGAACGGTGAAACGAGAGAAGAAGGGTGGAGGACAACAGACCTTGAAATCACGACGATCGACAGACGACAGAGATTAGGGCCCGAGAAAATCGAATGGTCTTTGGTCATTTCACGACGATCGGAGCATCCCCTGACGAAACAGAGCCCCGATCCATAACTACCGTGATGAGATGAACAAAACCCGAAATTTTGGTGGTCAACAGCGGCTAGGACGACGGCCTGCGATGACGAAGACGGACGGAGAATGATTGTGTTTAGAGAGAAAAGAGAGCTTCTCTCTACCCAAAACAAAAAAGAACAAAAAAAAAATGAAATCTGAGACATAAAGGAGATTTCACCTATTTATAGGCACGTCAAAACGGTGTCGTTTTGGCGCCTGCTCGAGCACCCCAAAACGAAGTTGTTTTGCTTACCATTGCGGCTGTGCGTTTTGGTCTCAGTGGTATAATCACACTTGGGGTCCTCTCTAGTTTTACCCGAGTCCATTTTGATCACTATGTTTTGTTTTGTTTTGTTTTGTTCTTTTCATTTTTATTTTAAAAATTAATGTCTTCATCTCATTATTTACCATTTTTATTTTTTAATATTAATGTTTGGTTTATTTGCTTTTAGACCATCCGACCTTTGTCGAGTTTTACAGTTCGGTTACTAGACCGTGCACTTTGATTTCCTTCGATGGCAGCCTTCTGATCTTTTTTATTTGCACTTTTGCCTTCCATAGTTTCCGTAAATTTAAATTTAAGTCACCATTACTCGTTTTTTCTATTATTTTGATTTTCACACTTCTGTTTCTTTTATTTCTTTTTTGTCCTCAGGTTTGCTTGTTTATTTAACTTTTCATTATTAATTAGTTGTGTATTTGATTTCCTCTATCGTTTTTAATATATTTCCTTTTTTCTTTTCTTTGTTATTTAGTTTTATCTTTTCCTGATTTATTTCTTTCATCTTTTTTAATTAATTTTTACTCCATTCGCATCTATATATTTAGGTTACTGTATTTGAAATCCTATTAATTTATTTTAATATTGTTTCCTTGTTTATTTGATTTTTCATTATTAATTAGCTATATTTATCCTAACCTTTTATTTTCCTTTAATTTTGTCGTTTGCTTCCTTTGACTTTTTTGCTCTTTAGTTAAATTTCCTTTTAAAGCATGTTGATTTACTACCCTTTGTTTCTTTCCTATTTTATTTTAGTTTTCCTTTTATTTTGCATGTAATTACTTTAAATTTACTTCCTATCATAATTCACATTTGCATTAACTTACTCTATTATACATTTATTTATTAAGTTTTGATTCCCTTTTCTATGCTCATTTATTTCTAAGGATTTTTTATTTCTTTTTTCTCCTATGTTTACGTGTATATGTATGAATATATATTTAAACTTTCTATTATTTTATTATCATTAAATATTGTGATATGTTTTTACTATATTTACATTATATTTTACATTTATTAAATATATCTTATATTACTTATATTATATTATGTACATATTACATGTTTTTATTTATGAATATATCAAACACATTTTATTAGTTTATAATAATATCTTACATTGAGAGTATATGATAATATAATTACCTATTCTTAGCCTTTACCTTAATATCAATTTAATTTAGTACCTATTGCATGTTTATTTTATTATCGTTTAGTTTAGTAATTTTATATTTATGTAATTAGGTCCTCATATTTTATTTTTATCTTTATTTTATATTGTTTTTACTATTTTTATTTTTTTATTTGTTGTTTTTATTATTTTAATTATGTTTCTTAATTGTTTTAATATTTCATGGTTTTATTCTAGATTTAGTTTTAAATTATATTAGTACTCGAATCAAATGTAGAAATTAGGACGACACTTTAGTTTAATTAGGGAACAATTCAAGCCGAGTTTTCGCATTATACGCCCAATTACTCGAATCGATTGTCGATTCTAAAATTAATTAATAATTAATATTTTCTAAAACTTTAAGTTTAATAATTTAGATGAAAATTAGATTTTTTTAATTAGCCCCCTAACTTTAGAAGTTGTCATTTTAGGTCCCAAACTTTTAAACATTTTAGAACTCGATCTTTAGACCTTGACCTTTTTAGTCCCTGAACTTAGATTAGACTCTTAATATTGACATAATTAAATATGTTAAATAGAGCCTCCATTTTTATCTAGATTTTGATTTAGTCTCTTTAATTTAGGGATAATTCGATGTGGCTCTCGCTTGAAAGCTCGAGGGACCATTTCGGTTATTTGACTCAATAATCGATTAAAATCAAATAGGATTAATATTAGAGTCTACGTTTTTAGATTTAAGCCCCTAGGTTCTTTAATTTTCATAATTTGTCACCTCAAGTTAGAAAAAGCCTTAATTTATTTTTAGTATAATTAGGATAAATAAAATTTTGCTTGATGGCATAGTTTTTATAAATCTAAGGCACTGTTTACTTATTAAGGAATTAATAGTATATATCCCGCGATCATGCTCAGGGGTGACTACTGATAATTCCCTAAATAAGTCAACATCATTTTCAAAATCGCATCATGTTTTCTAAAAATTAGGCAATGTTCGGTTATTAGGCACAATAGTTGATCTCTTGCATTTACGCTCGGGAACAAATCCTATGTAACACCCCAACCCGTACCCAACCCGAATACGAGTATGAGATATCACATTGACTTTTTAAAATAATATTCTAACAAAATAACAAAATATTTGAACTTATATTAAGAAAATACAAAATATATTATTAGAATTATGTTTCATTATAAAAATTTAAGGTAAAAACGTCTTTATGAACAGCACTATACGGTATGAACAGTACTGTGAACAGTAATAAACAGTATCATGAACAGTACCATGAACAATGCTATAGTGTACCGATGCACAAAAATATCGAATATAAATTGTGTATCGATGTACAAAAACTTCGGCAAAACATGAATAAAACTCATAAAAATCTAAACTTTCATCCGTATAAAAATTTCCATTTACATATATACGTTTAAACATTACAAAACTTTTATTAACTATGATCAAATTGTTTCACAAAACTGATTAGAGTATATTCAATTCAAATCTTGTATTTACATGCCAACTAAATTCTATATAACAAAATACATGTTATTCATTTTTCTTCTGATCTAACTTTTAGTAAAGAGAACTAACATGTCTTGCATACTTTTATCAATCTTTCTCTTCTCGAAACCTACGTGTGAAACAATCACACGCTAAGTCGTTGACTTAGTGAGGCATATAAAACATATAATAAAACCATATAACATTTCATATAACAAAATACATACATACATATATATATACCATCATTATCATGATCTCTATCATTATCATTAATCCATTTATCATATGACCTTGTACTTATCACTTCAGTATATCATGTAACACATATATCATTGCACAAAGAAACACACATAACATCATATAATAATGCAAACACTTTTGATATCTTTTATAGGCCCATGTACATTACTGAGAACTCAAGGTATTCGAGTACATTGAGGTTGTGCACTTATACTGTCAACACAGCTCATATGAGGTCTCACTAGGGGCATGTGAAATTTGTCCCGAATGACCTATGTATATCCCGAAGAATCACTGAATTTTTCCCGAAGGACCGCGTAGACCTCGACTCTCGGCTCATGTATTATATACCATGGGCATTATTCTTATGTTTCATATGTTCATGTACTCATGTCATTTCTCTTTTGATCACATATACCTTTTTTTCTGTCACATACCACATGTATGTGTAAACATCTGTGTCATTTCATATAACATGTATCACATAGGTTTATATCATGTAACATATATCACATGTGCATGTAATCACATAGATTGTATCATATAACTTATATCATTTCACATGGGTTCATGTAAACATGTATATCATATCTTATTCACATATGTACATATATACATCACATAGCACATAAAATAACATATAAACTTGTACATGTATTCATGTATATACTTTCATCTAGTCCGTATATCAATGTCCTATACTTATCTCACAGTTTTACATAATCACTTATATTGAATTCACTTGTTTTATCTTACACATTCCTATAATCACTTATGTCAATACCACATAGCTTGTATTATAATTTCATATATTCTACGCATCAATGACATATAGTTTTTATCCTATTTTTACATGATCACTATATCATATTTCTTATACACTAATTTTATATTTTCCATTAGTTCATTTTCACTTAGCTTATTGTCGTAACCGGTTTTCGCCCGGGCACGAATTTTTACTTGGCGGGAAAAATAAAATGAATAAATAAATGATTTTGATTTAAATTTTTTTTTTAGAGTCATCATTGACCTTTTTGGGTTAGGTAGGTCAAATACCTAAAAAAATCTTTTAAAATAGTTTTTAAGAAAACATAATTTAAAAGATAAACTGATCTGCGTATAACCAAAAATTTTTAATAAAAAGGATTCGTGGTCGGTTATGTTTAAGGAAGGATTAGCGCCCCTATAACGCCCAAAATTGGTACTCATTAATTATAAATTCTCTATTATTGGACATTTAAAAATTCAAAAATATATTTAATTCATAATCCTATTATTTCAAATTTATTAATATAATTTTAAGAAAAAATATATTAATATATATGTATATATATATATATATATATATATATATTTATAAATAAGATATTTATTTACTTGGAAATATCAGAAAAGGACTTCTAGGTGCTTTAAGATAGCTCTTTAAAAAATAAATAAATATTAATAAAATATTTTTTAAATAGATTAATATATAATTTATAAAAGTAAGATATATATTTAATTAAAAATATCAAAAAATGGACATCCAGTTGCTTTAAGACTGTCCCTTTCTTAATATTGAAAAATAAATATATATTAAAATATAATTAAAAGTAATTTATAAAATTAAATTTATAAATAGGATTTTAATAGAAAACAAACAAATAGAATAAATAAATATTATATATATACATATGACTTAAGATAATAATAAAAAAAATAATCATGAAAATAATATATCAAAAATAATAATAAAAACAAAATAAAATTGTAATTAAATAATGATCAAAATAAAAGAAATTAAAATTATAAAACTAAAACATAAAGTATTAAAATTAAATATACTAATTCGAAATATTATGAAAGATAATGGTTAATAGTGTAATTTTATATAATTAATTAATTCGGGATATAAATATAAATTAATAAAATTATAAGGGATTAAATCGGTTATTTACCTTAAATATTTATATAAACATATCAGTGACTAAA